GAGATGTTGGTGGAAAATGGGTTGGTAGCATAGAAACCTGGCTCAGCTTCTTCGAGATTCCCCCCCCCCCCCCAACTTTTTCTTATTTTGTAAGAAGACTAAGAGAACCATCTGTAACCATACATATAAATAGTAAAATGCTGAATCTCAAAACGATAAAATGATAAACTTGAAATAATATGGATTTTTAAAGATATATTTCAGAAGATACATTTTGTACACGCAACTTAGCCCTCTTAGAAAATTATTATATGGTAAGGGGCGCTCAGTCCCAGCGCTTTAATTTTTTGCCTGAGTGGGGGGGGGGGGGGGGGGGTAGGAGGTAGCACTCAAGACCCGAGTATCCATTCCCCACTCAATTATTTGCCTACATTCGTAAGGTGGCGAGGAGCGAGTGATATGGGCGGTCCCTCGGTGTGTCCTTACTTAATTGGTGGTGATAGAAGTTTTAAGGGTGAGAGCTCACGAGAGCTTTTTGTGTGTGCCTGAGTAGTGAGAAGGGCGTTACTGAGGACGGATGCTGAGCTCCCCCTTTTTTTACGAACGTGGTGGGGGGGGGGGGGGGGGGGGGGGGGGGGTCTCTCCCTTCAGTTTTGGGTAGGGGAAAAGTGGGCCTCCCAATGTTAAATTTGTGGCGGCGCCCCTGGCAGTAGTGTACACCGATGGTTCTAATGGGGATTTCGGCTACAGTGAAGGGAACGATCGTGGCCGAACAAAGTGGTGATTTGTTTTTTAATCTACAACTTTGAGCATCAGGATGGGTGTGGAGACCATCACTGCAGCTCTGAAGTGGACAGCAGGAAACAGAGTAACTAGAGGATTTATAATTGCTGATTCTCAGCCGGTGCTGCGACTCAGAACTACTCAAAACCGACAAATATGGCATGAGTGGATGTCAAGCATCCGCTCGTGGTTTTGACCGCGAAGAGTGGCAAGCAGTGAAGTGAAGAACGTGTCGTACCAAGTCGTCTAACTAGAAGTCTCTTTGCATTGCAGTGACTCACGTTGATGTACTGTCCGGGAGATGCAGGAGTACGAGGATATTATGAACAGATACCCTGGCTACACAAGCGATAGCTACAGGAAGACTCGTACTAGACACAGGAGATATTCTGAAGACTATTTCCGACCGAATAATGACAGGAGACACTAAGTTAGATGAAATACACGACTGAGAATGTTTCAACGAGGAATTAGGTGGAGATCAGGCAAGGAGGGTAGAGAACGTCGAGTTTACAATAAGTGTTTCTCGTGAGGGTTCCAGGATCCTATTGTGGGGAAAACAAGAATAGACCGACTGCCTCCACAAAAAGCATGTCATAAGAGTAAACTAACTGAGGGCTTCCTTCGAAGTCGGGGTGCATCTGATTGATTAATTGATTTGATTCAAGAACCGACATCACAGTACTCGAGGCATTCCCATAAGCGCTCCGTCCCCATCCTCAGCAAAGAGTTCCGATACTAATGGTGCCAGTAGCATTCTGATTAAACGTCTGTCTTGCTTTTCCTCTGAGCCTGGAGCATCTGCTAGAACCTCTCGTCACTCCCCCCTGCATCAATCTTTCCAGACTGTGGTGATCCATCTGCTACTCCAAACTGTATACGCTTTCTCACATAGCATTAACCACGTCTGCCTTATCATGCATCAGTATTCTACCAAGCTGTGCAGAGCCAGCCAGTGGATCTGAATGAGAGGCAAGAAATTAACAGTCTTCATACGCATAATTAAGATATGTAAAACGGATGTGCACACACACGCAGGTTCTGGGAAAAGACTAAAGTCCGGAGGTGGACGAATATCCAGAACTTTCCATTGGAGTTTACAGCCTGTGAACGCGAAAAAGAACTTATAATAGGTGTGCTACTTGAGCAGTTAGCATCTACACCCTACACCTCAAGACATTTGCAGCGGGAGACAGAGCATCTCTGAGTATGTCCTGTATGCTTTAATGTTTATTAATAAAGCAGTAAATCAGTAAGCAAATTTATGTAGCCAATCCTTCTTGTGTGTACACTGTGGGTGACCGGTAGTGATGGAGTTCAAGGGGATTAGTGAGCACATTTTCTGAGAGGATAAAAAGGGTTGTGGTTGGGGAGGGGAAGAGGCATTGTTAGGGGCCAAAGTCCTGTAAAGATTATTGAGAATGAGGTGAGCACACTGCCCCCCCCCCCCACCGCAAAAACAATAATTACTGAGGCATTTTCAAGGTGTTCAAGCCCCCAAATTCATGCAACGCTGCTGGGTGATAAGTGTTCTTGATCTTTTTGAATGACGAACAGTCACTTTCTCAATAGAGACGTAAAGCTAAAGTAGTTCACTGAAGCACAGATAAATATTTATTTATTTGATATCTTTCTCTCTCTTACACACACACACACACACATACCCACACACACATATATATATTTCAAACACAATATTGGTTCTTGTAGTAGTGGTTGGTAATTGCAGAATATAACGTTCGACATTTTCGGTTTTTCACGTTTCCCTTAAACAAAAAGGGAGAGGCACAGCCTGAGCTCTTGTCAAAGAGAAATATAAAGAAGCGGCTTCTACCATAACACGGAAATCTTCTCTTGTGCAGACTCCAAACTTTCCAGCACCAGCCTCGTATATATTATTCGGCACCACACATTTAACACAGTAGATACGCGTTTATTTGGAACTGCTGTAAGCATCATGTAAGTTTGACATGATATACAATTGTATGTGCTTTGTATTTCCTGCAGCAAGTTGGTAGCACCTATTTATCAACTTTGTTGATGAAAGACGTTAAAAAATTATATATAAAATAATATTAAAACAACCAGAAACAAACGTTTATTATTTTTGATTTTCTGCTTTAATCAATCAAAATACCCAGTCTGTCAAAGTTACTAACCGACGAACAAACCTAATATTAAATCAAATGTTCATTAGAAACGATTTTATATATTATTACTAAAGCATGCAGCTAAGAAGGGATCATCTAAGTAGTATTTTCACACCCTTCACCGCCGTTGGTAGACCCTAACTAATAACTATACATACATACAAACATGAAATGGAGGTTAACGGAGGGCTTTCAATCATGCATACTGCAAAGTATATTTTTGTTCTAAAAATGCAATTTAAACTTTATTCTGTAGGCATGAAAGAAGGCTTGTAATCCATTTTTTTATCTTATACATTTTCATATTGTCATGTATTTTGTTTTGTTATTGTAATCCACATTTTATTGCAACATAATGTTATGCTTGTCTATTAATTCTGGTTTCTTTACTAGAAGATTCATTTCCCAGCTTTCTAGAGATGGTGTTTATTATGTCATTATAGAATTTACATTCTAATAATGAATATAAATCAACTATTTGAGAATTATTAGTTCTGTTTGTAGAAAACCTAATTACGTGTTCGGAAAGCTTCAGTCATATACGTTCGCACACAAAAGTACATGATAAACTTGCAGGGAGGTCTTTTGATTTAAAGTGTAGTTTTTGTTTGAATACACAAGAGCATCATACTCTGTACATTAAACATTAGTTATATAACCATTGTCTAAGTAACTAATCAGACTGATTATAAAGCATATTTCATTCATTACTGTAATTGGACGAATGGTAATTGCATCATATTTTCGAAAATGTACAGTTTTGTTTAACATAAACAGTACATTTAAAAGATTTTTCGCCATTATAAAATTACGAAATTCGTAATCGCATTACAGATATCAGTTAGAAACCAATTATATTTAACTTCATCTTGAATTGATTTGTAAATTATCTTTAGGAAGCTCATAGTTCTGGGTAGTTTTTGTGTGATTTATTACTTTTAATGTGAAGAGCTGAATCAAACTAACAGATACCTGTTAGAGGACAGTAAAATTGCCACAGGTTATATTTTATAATACTATTTAATCACCCCACATTAGTACTGTATAATTATATACAAATTTCTTCTTCAATTTTTCGAGTCGTTATCTTTCAATGACTCATAGACCCTAAAGCAAACCTTTGCAAGTTATCCTTTTTTTTTTGTCCATCACATGCAGCTTCCTCCACTTTTTCCTTACTTTACTTTTTTTTTTTCAAGTTGCGTATCCTTTACAAGATATTGCAGAACCAACCTCATCATTGTTTGGCTGTTGGGGCTTTTTCTAGGCAAATTTACGTCCTTTAGTTTGATATTACATTCTAGATGGGCAGCTCTCGATGCCATTGTCGAACTAAACGCAAGGAGATCTGGTTAGATTCTAGAAAAATCACATCTTTGCAGCTTCCACTTGATCTGTTAGTGATATATAATTTTAAAATTTGAGGAACATAAATTGATCATCCACCCATGCGTTATACCAGGGCCCTGAAGGGAAGCAAAGAATAGTAACACTGCACCCTATTAGGCTTGTCATAAGAGGTGAATAAGGGTAGGCTTGGGGTTGGCTACCTCATATTGTAAAAACAGTAGCCCACAAAAACCAACCAACCATGGAAGATTAAAATAGAGAGACAAGAAATATCCAGCCAAGGGAAGGGGGATGTGATGAAAAACAAAAGGAGTCGACACCTGTTGTAGAGGTTTCTGAGATTTTCTCCACTTTGATTGACTTATTTTTGTGTCACTGGGTGTCTCTTTATCAGGTTACAATCCTGGAGGCGATACATTAAAAAAGTAAGTGATGACCAGCTATAATATAATACAGATAATAACTTCTCTGAAAGACAAATATGTATAGAAACTCATGATTTGTTGTAAAACTGAATTTTTTATATGGAATTAGGCTCAGACTGTGAGCCAAGAAACAGGAATAAGTTTCTTCACTTTATCTGCTGAAAAAAGCAACAAAGAACTACATTTTCTCTAGTACTCTAGAGGAATAAGGATAGAAGTGTATTTTCAATGATGCATATGTTTATACTAACATGTATTTACGCATGCATACCTACCTACTCCCATTATCTAAACAGAATAATAACTGACATTTAAATTGTGCAATAAATGTTGCTTGACAGCTCTGGTAAACATGGAGACCAGCAGAGTTGCTGAGGAAAGTGGCCCTGATGAGGATCTTCAGTTAAAATCATCACTACTGAAAGGTAAGTTATTAATTATCAAGAAAAGCAATGAAAAACAAATAGGTTTCTGTGAAATTGTGAGTAAAAATGGTTCACAATGACGAGACAGGGAATGGATAAACATGAAAGATAGTAGGTCCCAGTGAAAGAGTTGAGAATTGACAGTTCTGCCGGTTGAATATTTCTTCTTATGCTTGTAGTGTAAGTCGAAATTTAATTACAAAAAGTATTCAGGTCTTTTCCATTGTGTTTCGAGTAATGAGGAATGGCGGACTGATTGGTTAGATCGATTAACTTTTATGTAAGGGACCTATGTTCGATGCTTGCTAAGGAATGGAGAATATTTTCTGTCCTCAAAGTCTAGACTGGAACAGGTCAAGGCCTTCATACAAGTAACCAATGGTAAAAGTCATCCACTATATGGCAGCCTAAATAATTTCAGAGGAAACTGTTCAAGCACTAGCAGAAGATATTGGACTGGTGGCATCAGTCGAGCAAATACACAGAAAACTGGAATGGGTCAATAGAAACACACACAAACAGCATTTTCCAAATTTCATTGTCACATTGGGAAGAGATTGTTGAGAGTGTTGTAATGGTTTGGCACAATTAGAGGTAGAGCAACTGATAGATGATAATCCTGGCTTAGATAATATAATGATGTACACCAGTGGTTCTGTATATCAGAGTGATACATTTAGATGGGTTTTCTCAGCTATAGAAAAGGAAAAGGTCATGGCAGATCAAAGTGATGTTTTAAAAAAAAAAATCTTCATGGAGATGAAGGTAGAACCAATCACTGCAGCTTTGAAGTGGTTGAATGATCTTAGTGTCTTATTCTCTGTTGTATTGTGGAAGGTTGAAAAAAGGACATGTGCGGCATGAATGGAACCAAGCATCAGTATGTCAGCATTACAGAGATTGACTTGGATATATCTAGGATATGTAGGCATTCGATTTAATAAAAGAGCAGATTTGTTTGGCTACAAAAGTGACATCGAGTGGCCTAAATGTGTTTACAGCAGAGCTGCAGTGTTTTCACTTTTTGGCCAACACATCCGACAACATCAAGCATTTGTTGACCAGGTTAGCTTCCTGGATAGTTTCTGGGACAGGAAAATGTTGGGGCTTATTTGTGTGGTGTTCTCTTTGTTCCCATGTCGTATCTACACTGGGGTGTCCTTTTCCTGAGAGGCAAGGAACCAGCAGTCTGCATTCAATTGAATCAGATCTGTAAAACTGATGCACATGCAACACTCAGGTTCTGGAGCATGACTGCAGTCCAGAAGTGGACGAACAACCAGAACTTTACGCCAGAGTGTACAGCTGGTGAACACAAAGAAGAAGAAAGATTTGTGTGGTGTTCTCTTTGTTCCCTTATCTACAGGTGTCTTCCCTGGAGACCCTATCCAGGGCATCCACATGTAGACAGGTTGGCCCTCAAGGAAGGCTGGGGCAGATCATGGGCATTCCCTGCCATCGAAGGAGGCTTCCATAAATGCAGAGCTGACACATGTCACTCTTGTCCTGAGCTCACCCAAGGAATCGTCACGTCCTGCACATGACTGCTTAATCTTACACCCGTTTGTCGAGCTTTCCAATCGCTATAGGCTGTGCCCTCAGGAGATAAGCAGAGTGCAGCCTGCAGGTCTGGGACTTAGATAGCCACACAAATAGGTATATTTTTTTTTGCTATGCATCCAGCATGGCTTTCCTCTATAGGTTCCACACTCTAGCGGGTGGGGTCAGTAGTAACAGGCATGTGAAACTTTCTGCCAGGACTTTTTTGGTCAAACATTCTGGACTGTTTCTGTGCTATAGGACATATATCAGACCGACATTTATACCAAACCATGACAGTGGCAGACTGTCATGGTGTACCCCAGCGAGGTGATGACAACGCTGAGAAACAGTAAGGAATGTGTGGAGTCAGTACAGTTCGGTGAGTTACCGCCCGCAAGTCATGCTGCTCGTGTAGGCTGCTAGCAAATCTCTTCTTGGATTGCTGTATTTCAGCAGTACAGCAGTTCCTTCCACTCGACAGATTGTTGAAACCAAGGTTATCATTTAGTAGTATGTTCGGCAAACGGATTTCACCTATGTTCCAAATGAGCTTTGATAGATGTTTTCACCTATGCATTGAGGGTTGGCTGATGCAACCCCTACTGGACACTACCTCTAGAGGCCACCAACTCAGAGATCAACTGCCAGTTTAGTTCAGGTCACAAAAGTGAGCTCTTATCCATCGCGTACAATGGGGACATGTGGCAGGAGTTTGCGTAAGAATTCATAAAACCATCCCAGAGCCAGCTGGCGCCCCAGGTGGGGTATGGAGTTACCTCGTATGCACACAGCGACAGCCTTAACTTTCTCTCACGCTAATGATCGATACCACCACACCACTTAAATGAAACAATATGTGTGAGGTTGCATACATTTTGAATGAAATGTGGATCCAGCAAGAAAAGATGTGTAAGAGGAAGACTATGATGTCTATACAACCAGCGGGCTACTGGAAAAATGAGCATCTACACCTTAAGACATTTACTGTGGAAGACGGAACAGCTGTGGGTGTGACCGGTATGCTATGATGTTTGTCCTTAAAGCAGTAGACAGTAATAGGCAGAAATAAATATCCTAACTTTCACAGTGTGTGGCAAATGCCTTAGCTGTGTGGCCCTAATTCTTCATGCTCTTGACCCCCACGACCTACACCAACCTAAAAGTAAAATACCGGCAGCAAAAACATTGGAGTGTTCAGAACATCTGCTCAGTCCCTATAGAATCATTCTTGCCACATATTGATGCTCTGGTCTGCTGCACTATTGACATGTTCCCACTGAGCTTTTCTATGTCTGCCATATCGTAAAGTAGCTGCCCACAAAAGTGGCTGTAGTTAGCCTATAAACCTATTGCATTTTTCCTCAGATCTCATGTCCTGTGCCAAAAATACAAGATATGTTCATGATTAGTCTTCTTCTTCTTCTTCTGCGTTCATCTGAGGATGTTACTGAGTTGTGCCCGTATACAGCATGGCTGCGATAATTGCACCTTTTGGCCAACACATCCTTCTGAGGTGTTAGGCTTAAAGAGCTGATTGGCATGCAAAGCAAAACAGGAACAATTCAGTAAAGATGAATTATTACAGAAAATAATGTATGCTAACCGGGGACTCATATTAATACATCTCTGTCACTGCCGAGACCGAAATGTTGTTCATGCTGACCAAGTATGAATTTTGCATGATGAGCTGGACGTGGTCAAGGTCTTTTGGGATCAGGTGAACTGTTCAGAGGCACAAATTACTAATTATGATCTGCAGAGAATGGTTTGGCTAGGAGTGAGCAGGGGATCTGATCAACACTCTACAGTCAGAGGAAAAGCAAGACGGAGATAGTGTCAGACTGCTCTGCCATCATCAGAGTTAGGACTCTTCGCTGGCTGCTGAAGATGAGGACACGGCACTTATGGGAATGTCCCGAGTGCTGTGGTGTCATTTCTTGGTTCAACACTCAATATATTAGCTTTATCTAGTAATGGTAAGCATTTCTTGTTCTCTTAGTTCTTGCTGTTCATATTCCTATACTTATTTCTCACCTGATAACCGTTTTGTGTCCATCTTAACTATTGCCATTTATTTCTTCAGTCATTGATGCAGACTGCCCTGAGTTCGCTGGAAAGAGGTTGGTCATATTTGTTCTACTTTCACATGTCAGTAAAGTTATTTCTCTGTTTATATAATTATTGATGGGGAGGGTGGTGGGTTGTATTCACTTTTTATAGTTATATTCTCATGAGTGATTCAGTTATCGTAGAAAAAAACTTTTATACATTTATGTGTGAAAAAATATGATCTAAGCTCTTTGTGAACAGTGTGGAGACACATAGAGATAGATCAACACGGCTGAAGAGAATGGTGCAGCGGGGATTGGCCAGGGGTTACATGGCCAACACTCAGCACTCTGGGGAGAAAAAGCAAGATAGATTTACAATGAGAATGCTGCTGTTACTATTCGAACTGGAACTCTGTTGGTTGCTGAAGATGGGGATGGAGTGCTTATGGAAACATCCTGAGTGCCATGATGATGGTTCTCAATCAGCTGAACTGATGTGAAAGAGTAACTGAAATATTTCTGTCATCACAAAATGACTGATGTCCTAATTGATTTGATGGATACATATATGTGTGAGTTAGTTGAGGGCCTATGCTCCATTGGGGGATAGAAAGGCAGAAGAAGAAGGATAAAAGAAGACTACTTCCACTTCTCCAGTATGTCAGTATGAATGCTGTAGCTGTGCGAAGTTTTCATATTTAGCACATTAAAATGTTAACCAATTGTTTAATCCCTGTCATGTGCTTCATACTTCTTAATTCTTCTGTCTTTTCTCAAGCATAATTATTGGTTCTCTAGCACTGCCATAGACTGCAATTCTCTTTGTTCCTTCATTTTGAGAAGTACATAGTAAGTAGTAAAGGGAAAAAATATGGTGATTGACAATGGTCCAGGATGAATCTGATAATACAGTTATAGATCTCCAGTTTGATGTATTTTTATTCACCTAATTCATGAACTTGTTAGTTACAAAGAAAGTAAATTCATCTGAATAATTCGCCTCATGAGCGCCCAACTTCCCCTAAAAAAAAAAAAGGTGTCCCTGAACTATGGGAGTTTCCGTTAAAAAACCCAGAAGCAAAAACAACAATACTGCACGGGTTACTATTACATGTTTGACATTTTTTAAAATCAGTTTTTGTAAGTTTTACCCCTGAAATATATAAAGTTTTATGAGGGTGAAATAAATAATCAGTGAAGCATTAAATTAAATACATTCCTGGTACCTGAAGTCATAACCCCTTGAAAACCATATCAGCACCTGATCCTGTCAGTGGTGGATTATGGCCTGGGACTGCTTACCGTCTCAAAGAGTCAGATGGACAAACTAGAGCGCATACAGAATGCGGCTATGCGGGTCATTCTGGGTTGCACCAGAGACACCCCAGTGTTGTGTGTATGCGGTACATCCTTGGTTCGCTGACGGTAGGCACAAGGTGATGCAGGCGAAGATAAGAGCAGGCGAAGATAAGAGGGAGGTCATGGATGGCTCAGGCAGAAGACACAATCAGACAGGTTTGCATCCTTGAGAACATTAGGAGAGGAGAGGAGTGGGTAAAAGTGCCACCTGAGCAGTCAGACTTGTGTAGAGTCATAATCATGCTGAGCCGGGAATGCAGAGACTGGCCAGCAGGTGCCACAGAGGTGGAAATTCAGCAATTCAGAGGATTTGATCATTTACACAGACGGTTCAGTGTCAAGAGGCAAAAGAAGTGCTTGGGGCTTTTTAGCAAAAGTTAATGGTCGACGTGCAGGAGAGCCTAGCATATGATACCACAACATCCAGCTTAAGAATGGAGGTGGAGGCGGTCACTGCAGCTTTCCACTGGCTAGAGAACACAACACACACACACACATTGTAATTGTAACTGATTCAGAAAGAATGCTGAGGAAGATCAGAACAGGTATGCTTCGTGCAGAGTGACATGCTTTGCTGCGGAGGACACGAGTGAGGAGTATTGTCTGGATTTTTTCGCCGGGTCACGTGGGTGTGTTGGGAAATGAACAGGCCGGACAGACTGGCTGGCTCTGCACAACTTGGTGGAATACTGCTACATGATAGGGCAGACGTGGTTAGTGCCTTGTGGGAGAGCGTGTACAATGCAGAGAAGCAGATGGATCACCACAGTCTGGTGAGATTGATGCTGTTGGGGGTGACGAGAGGTTCTGGCAGAAGCTCAAGGCTCAGAGGAAAGGCAAGACGGACGTTTAATCAGATGGGGGACGGAGCGCTTATGGGAATGCCCCGAGTGCTGTGATGTCGGTTCTTGAATCAAATCAAATCAAATAACCCCTTGACCTCTTTCACTCACTGAGGCTTGTAGGAAATTTTGACATCATCTTGTCTTTTAAAAAAGCCTTTGGAATAATAAGACGGCCACACCCCCTCCCCTCCTCCCATTTCTTCCAGTGCTAGTTTTAGTTACTGTATTAATATCATGGCCCATTAAACACTGTGCAGGTGCATATAGGACCAGTGGAATTTAGCTACAATGTTCAAGAACAGGTCATTGCAGACATGTCCGTATGTTAGCATTTATAGTACTTTGTCACAACGGAAGGTGACTAGATTTAGTCTTCTTAGGTCAAGTCAATTACATTTCTTAACTTTTTTTCTAGCCTAGGCACTTGTTCCTTATAGCAATAAATGTTTGCCTTCGGAGGGTTTGAAATAAGTGCAATGTGTGAAAGAATGGGATACAGTTACAAGGGGTCAGAACAAATGTATTTCACTCAATTACTAATACATGAAAGGGTTAATAAAACAGGCCGGATTGAAAGGGTTGATAAATAAGCGACTGATAGCATGACTGCTGCTGTCAGTGACAAGCCATACTGACAGCAACTAGAGATCTGAGGAAAACAAAAAGATCTGTTTTACAGATCTGACTCATTGTCTGCATGCAGTTGGTTCCCTTCCTTTCAGGCAGATGCATTCTGACTTTGAAGGAAGCTGCCACTTAGTTGACTCTTATGACATGCTTTTGGGGAGGCGGTGGGTCTGTTCTTGTTTTCCTCACAATGGGATCTCATAACAGACGTGGGAAAAATGCAGTACTGAAGTCAGAATGGTTGACTCCCTGTGTTGGTTCCGGGGCCCTTTTATAGGGAAAACAAGAATAGACCCACTGCCTACCCAAAAGCATGTCGTAAGAGTCGACTAATTGGGAGCTTCCTTCGAAGTCAGAGTGCACCTGCCTGAGAGGCAAGGAACTAACAGTCTGCATACAAATTAGTCAGATCTGTCAAACGGATGCACACATAACACTCAGGTTCTGTAATAGGAAAAAGGGGAGGACTGCAGAACAGAAGTGGATGAACAACCAGAACTTTCCACCGTAGTTTACAGCCGGTGAACGCGAAGAAAAAGAAGAAGAAGAAAAGTTGACAGAAGAATGTAAAAACACAGCTTTGCTGAAAATGGAAACAACACAGCATATTATCATTAATAAAGATGCAGGCATCCAACAAACCATTGAGCTACAGCTTCTGTTAAACTGATGCTACTGTCAGTGAACTGATGACAATAAGTGATAGAAACATTGTTTGATACACTCATAATTTTCTGGAAAACATGTGGGAAAGGTATGCTTGGGTAAAAAGTTTCATCTGATGCAGTCACAGGCATTTCTTTGTGAAGTGATCAGTATCAGCTGTGATGTATGTCTGGATGCTCTTGAGAATAGTAGACAACCTGTCTTGTGTACAGAACACAGCACACACAATTCTTGACACTTTTCAGTTGGGTATTGGTGGAAATCCAGAGAAAATGCATGCTTTCTGTGGCAACATACAGATGTGAGTCCTGGATTATTCTAAAAGCACTAAAAAAAAGAAAATCTGGACTTTTGAACTCAAATGCAAACAGGAAGTTTCTTAGAGTATCGTGGACCCAGAAGAGGAGAGTCTGGAATTTGTGAGTTTCTGAACACAAAGGGAGACTTGATCATAAATAGTATAGCGTAAGCTCCTTGTAAACTGAAATCCTATGGCCATATTGAACACCATAATGGTTTAGAGAGAATAGAAGAAGAGGCGGGGGGTGGACGAGCAGGATATGGACACAGTATATCAAGGACACCATCGTTATAAAAGATTCAATGCAGAAAAACAGGTGATTGAAGCTTTCTGACATGCTGTGATAGAGCAGTGTTCTGCAAAGGTCTGCTTCATGGTGATGATGATGATAATTAAAAATAAATTAGGAAGTGTTTGTTACTTTTCAAAATATGTGGTGTATATTTTCTTTTTTTTTTGCTTTTCACTTCGTTTTTTTTTTTAACTTCTTCGATAAGCGAAAGAGTAGTCAGTGATTTGGAGGCAGGGGGGTTCAAACTGTTAACCGAGAGAGCTTTAAGTCACAGTAACTGCCTTACCCACTCATAGTAGCTGCAGCAGTAGTACTTGTGGTTGGCCAGTTACACTATAGGGCTGTCTTGCGGAGACCCACTGATTGAGTTTTTCTGTTGGGGGGCAAAATTATTCATCCTAACCTGACTAGTCCGTTGCGACAGCACTAGCCATGCGGTGCCAAATCCTCTGTCTAACAACCCCCTGCCTACCCTGATGGTAAAACAGATAGTAGCGACATTAGTTTAGTTATTGTGATGGTGGTGGTGGTGGTAGTAGTAGTAGTAGCAGCAGTCATACTGGTACTTGAAAGATGGTGTGGTAAATATTACACTGGCCACATTTACTTCTCATTACAATTGCTGCTCCTCATTTTAGTCGGATGGACAGGGATGAAAAATTCAGTTAAAAAAAATATTGTCAGGTGATGATTTTCAAATCCTTCCGAGAGGGAGAGAGCGGTAGTCGGTGGATAGGGGAGGGGAGGGGGTGAAGGAAAAATTGTTAACTTAAGGAGCTTAACAAAGGATTTTACAGTTTTCATTTCCAAATTTTTTTTTTTTTTTTTTACAAACGCTACCTCAGCTATTCTCATTTGTTTGTTTGGTTATTTGCAAGTTCAAGCTTTTTAGTATGTGATAACCAAATAACCATTTTTTAAAGTGCTAATAATACAATTTGAGCGACCACTAATATAATGACACAATGATATGATGCATGTTCTAGAGTCGGCAAACCAGACTATCTCTACATCTGCGCAGGCAGTGATTGCGACATTGACCAAATTAGACACGTGCGATTTTTTTTTTTTTTTTCAAAAAACCTTTGAGTTAGAGAGTAGTCAGTAGATTTGAGTGTGGGGGGGGGGGGGGGGGTTTCAAAGACTATCTTTATACAGACAATGATTGCGACATTAATCATGTTAGACAAGTGCAATTTCTATTTTCTTTCTTGTCCTTTTAGCCAAACTACGCCACAGCAACGCGTGACCGGGTACAGCTAGTATATATATATTTATGTGTGTGTGTGTGTATATATATATTTTTTGCCTTTTGCAAATAATACATTATATATTTTGTTATGTTTTGTTTCCAGAGGTGTGATCAGTGTTGACAGAACTGACCCCATAATTGAGAAATTCCTATCTGATGTGCCAAATCTGCTGTTACAGAATGATTCATACGGCCTCATATGGGACAAAGTAAACATTCATTTCATTGTTTGTTAATGCTGGTTTTAGTAAATGACCAAAAGAAGATGATCATTTCATAAATGAAAAAGGGCCAATTCTTACACTATTTTTTGTGTAGGAACAATTAAGATATACTGATACAAAAAATTGGTAATATTTCTTATAAATATAACTATGTTTTGAGAATTATTATTAATCCAGAGATGCCTAGACCTCCCTCCAAAGGTCCAGTCTCAATATATTAATACAGTGTTGCCTTGGTATTACGTCTGTTTTGGTATACATCCAACTTTGTATATGTTCTCTTTAGAGGCAAACAAATTTGCTTATCATACGACCTTTGTATAGAATACGACTCACGTGCTAGAACTTGTATGAGTCAAAATGAGTCATGAAACTTCATACTACCTTTGTTTGCCTCTCTTATTAAGGAAATTGTTTGCCAAGTGGATGGATGTCAAAAACTTTATAGAGGAGTACCACTCAAAGTCCAAACAAGCCATATGTAATAGCATTGCCTGGAATGACAGACAGTGTCACATTTCCCACATTTACAAAATGTCCTGAGGAGAAGTAAAAGTCAAAACTGTTGAGCCTCAACCAGGTCCAAGTAGCCAAAAGAAACAAAAAAGAAAAACACAAGAATTTCATATTCTTGAGGTTTTATTTGAGGCGACTTTCTTTTCAAACTATAGTATCTCTTCCTCCTAGCTTACAGCACTATCTTGGTAGGAACTCGACTCTTCTCAGGAAAGTAAAGTGAGTTTAAATTATTTCAGCTTATTGTTTTTGTATTATGTATGTAGGATTGAGCAGTGTTGAGATTATTTTTATGCAACCTCCATTAATGCCAATAACAACAGGATTTTTTCATGGAAAGGAATTAATCATTCTCCCTCTATTTCTTGTGGGGAATTTCATTTGATATACATCCTGTCTGGTATACATCCAAGGATCTGGAACAGATCAGGGACGTATACCAAGGTACCACTTAAGTGGCATGTGTTCATCAACTATCATTATTTAATATACAATGTTTCTTCTATCTGGCTTCAATCAATCAGTTTGCGTGTGTCTGTGAAAGCTTTACATACCAAAGCAGGGGTGATGTACAGTCTCATCAGGATATTACAACCAGCTCACTCGAAGTTCTTTATAATCTTATTTATAACTGATTGGATTTTGCAACTAAAGTTTTTATGTAAGATGACATTGCCATTCTCACGCCAAACGTTCATATGTCTCTTATGTCATGCTTGTAGGTTATAGTTTTACAATTTTTTGCTTATTGTTGATATTGTGTATTTGTTTAGTATTGTCTAATTTATGTATGTGCTGATGAAAGATTCCTAGCTGCAGGGTTCATGTTTTGTTTGTGTTTATTAAATCGTGAAGCTCACTGATATACTTTTCATTCTATTATATATCTTTTCTTGATATTGTTTGCTTACATTGAGAAAGTTAAGTGTTGGACCCTATTCATGCCTTTCCCTGTATCAGGCACATAGCGCTAGACCTATATTTCTGTAGACCAGTTGGTACTTAGTGAGTGATGTGGTCAGCCACATTTTTATTAGGCTACCTTTACTTCCCAAGACATTACCTCTTACTAGCTTTAGGCTGGTTTGTCCTCGGAGCCAAGGTCAATTTTGAAAAAAGTCTGAGAGATGCAGATTTGAACCCTAGACCTGTGGGCTGGAAATCGAGTGAGTGTCTAGCCTATATGCTACCATAGCTCCTACATGAACACATTATTCTTAACAGATGTGCAGAACACAATAGTAAATTAAATAAAGAGGTTATACATTTGTCTGTGAGCAAGTTGTCAGCAGGACTTTCTTATATTCTTCAACAGGATTGATAGAACCAAGAAATAGACTTTGAAACCAAGAAATAGATGTCTGAGTGTGTTTTAGTCTGATTCTCATGTTTTTTTTTCAACAAGTGTTTTCAGAAGCTTGAATCTTTATAAGGTTTATTTTGTACTTAGTCTAAAAATTTGCACTGAATAAGCTGTCCAGTAATGTATTACTCCAAAATCATTGTCTTTAAGATTTTCATATGCTTTTTGTCTCCCGGTTTGAACATTCTCATGACTTTGCCATATTTTTCTCTCATCTGTTTACAGGTTATTTTTTTTTCTTTTAGCTTCGGTGTGTATTTGAAAATAGGTTAGTTGTGTATCCTTTACGGGACGTTGCAGAACCAACCCTAACAGCCCCTGGCTGTTGTGTTGTTTTTCAAGGCAAATTTATGTTCAGTAGTTTGCAATTGCTTTCTGGACGGTCGGCTTTCTTGATACCACTGTCGAAACCAAAGCAAGGCGCATGGCCTGCAGCTGGGATCGAAACCGGCATCCCGGCATTAGGAAGCGTTCGCATCGAATTAGCCACAGAGCCAACGTATTTGAATATACAAAATATTAAATTTTTTCCAGCCTTCAGCAGTATTTTTTAGTGTCATTACTAACATGATCTAGAGACACAGTAAATTGCTTCATCCAGAAAGAAAATGTTACTAAGTAAAAACATGGCCTAAGTCCGCATACTCGAAAATCCTAGATCTCCCATAGCTGAACCAGAGGTTCAGAAAGGCAATCAAACATTTTTGGGGGTTTTCTTTTACAAATGTTGCAAATAGAAAAAGTCACATAGCACAATATAGATTAAAGCTTATCGATTTCAGTGGTTAGGCATACAAAGGAAGTGGCATATAAAAGAGACACAACAACTGCATATACAAAAGAACGGACTGGGAGTGGACCACAAGGCAGACCAAGAAGACAATGGAGAGATAACATTAGGGCAGATCTACAAGCACTTGGAGTTACCAACCTGAAAAAGAAAGCAGACCACAGTGATGAATGAATTGTATTGTATGAAAAGCTGCAGCAGAGAACCTCAAGGGCTTGGAATGTTTAAAAAAAAAAAAAAAAGAATATAGCTCAGTATAATTTCTTCTTCTTCACGTTCACCGGCTGTTGACCAAAAGATCTGGTTGTTCATCCAATTCTGGACTGCAGTTGTGTTCCAGAACCTAAGTGTTGTGTGTGTATTCCGTTTACAGATCTGAGTCATTTGTATGCAGACTGCTGGTTCCTTGCCTCTCAGGCAAATGCAATCCGACTTTAAAGAAAGCTCTTGCGACATGCTTTTGGGTAGGCAGTTGGTCTGTTCTTGTTTTTCCCCACAATAGGGTCATAGAACCCACACGAGGAAATATAATTTAATGCATACGGTTATTATTATGGTTATGATGTTTATTGTTTTATGATTATTGTGGCATGTTGAGCTTAGCAGACAGAGGTATGAGGGACAGTAAAAGCCACAAGAAACTCTCAAAAAGACACTTCCTGGACCTCACTGTAGATACCAGATACAGGGATGAGATAAGAAGGGTGACAGCAAGTAAAACCACCACCCCTGCTGTTTCTGTGGAATCTATTGCAAGACTGCTTTCCTATGTCCACATTGTATGCCATGGATAAACAGCCCTTGAAGTGGCAGAAGATTTGGAGCAGAGATGCAGTGCACAGAATCTGTAGCATAAGTATATACTCTTCTCAGTCATCGGTCCACTCCCAAATCATAGGTTACATCAGTGAACAAGACCCTAGGCTGTATTCAATTCAGCAGTTAATATGATGAAGATGGAGGCAGTTGGCCTGATGGGGTCAGGTATAGCCACATGAAGGCTTTGAGCGATGTGGACCTGGCGGAGATGGCTGACTGTTTTAACCAGAGCATTAAGACAGCAAAAGTACAGCAGGACTGGGTGCACAGCTATCTAATTCCACTGCCAAAGTCTTTTAAGGATCATTCAAGGCTCAGTGGCTTTAGAATCATAACCTTACAAAACACATTTGGGAAGGTCTTGGAGAAGATAGTTGCTGTAAAGCTGCAAGAATTTTTGGAAAGGGGGAAGCTTCTCCCAAGAGGTCTGGGAAGCTACAGTCCAGGAAAGGACACATGAGCAAATGCGGCCACTTTTGCTTTTGACGTCTATAAAGGGTTCCAGAAAGACAGGAAACTATGGCGGTATGACTGGATCTCGAGGATGCTTATAACAGAGTAAGATACGACATCTTGATGACTGCACTGAAGGAGAAGGAAGTAAGTCCATGGATGGTGAATTGGATTGCATCGGTCCTGTATTCATGTCGGGTTGCTCTTCGACTGGGCTCATGGACCTCAGAACCATAGAGTTTGGCCCCAGGACTGCCACAGGGATCCACTATCTTGCCTGTGCTCTTTAACATGTATACGAGCAAGATTGCAAGCCTAGAAGAACCAGGAGTTGGAAGGATACTGACTTTTGCGGATGGTATACTTTCATATAGGCAGGGGGAAGAGAGGGAACAAACAGCACGAGAGCTACAAGCGACAGTGGACAAAGTGACTGAGTGGTGTAAAGAAATGAGGGCTGTTGTCCACCCGGAAAAGGGGTCTGTTTTGCGGTGTTCTCTGGGCAACAGGATTGTTAAAACTAATGTCCCAAGTCTCACGAAAGATGGTAGAAACATCAACAGAGAGAGAGCAAACTGAAGTATCTGGGAATTACATTTGACAGGAGCCTGTCCTTTAAGGACTATGTGGAGAGTGTTGTGACAAGATGCCAAAAAAGACTTGGTGCACTTAAGACTATGGCTGCAATTGACATAGAGCAGAGAATGCTTTTTCACACTATATCAGCACCTGATCCTGTCAGTGGTTGATTATGGCCTGGGAATGCTTACAGTCCCAAAGAGCCATATGGACAAACTAGAGCGCATACAGAATGCAGCAATACCAGAGACACCCAAGTGGTGTGTATGCGATACATCCTTGGTTTGCTGACTGTTGCAGGTAGGCACAAGGTGCTGCAGGTGAAGTCATATCTTAGGGTAGCTGCAGACACAGACCACCCTTTGCACGAAGCTCTGGGTGCAGTTAAGGGTCAGAGGCTGATAAGAGGGAGGTCATGGATGGCTCAGGCAGACCACACCATCAGACAGGTTTGCATCCTTGAGAACATTAGGAGAGGAGAGGAGTGGGTCAAAGTGCCACCTGAACAGTCAAACTTGTGTAGGGTCATAATCACACTGAGCCAGAATGCAGAGACTGGCCAGCAGGTGCCACAGAGGTGGAAATTCAGCAGTTAATTCAAGATATTGCTCGTTCAGAAGATTTGATCATTTACACAGACGGTTCAGTGTCAATAGGCAAAAGAAGAGTTTGGGGTTTCTTAGCAAAAGTTAAAGGTCAACGTTTAGTGCAGGAGAGCCTAGCATATGATACCACAACATCCAGCTTAAGAATGGAGGTGGAGGCTGTCACTGCGGCTTTCCGCTGGCTTGAGAACACAACACACACACACACACATATTGTGATTGTAACTGACTCAGAAAGCATGCTGAGAAAGATCAGGACAGGCATGCTTCATGCAGAGTGGCATGCCTCGCTGCGGAAGACATGGGTGAGGAGTATTGTCTATTTTTTCACTAGGTCATGCAGTTGTGTTGGGAAATGAACAGGTGGACAGACTAGCTGGCTCTGTACAGCTTGGTTGGAATACTGATGCATGATAAGGCAGACGTGGTTAGTGCCTTGTGGGAGAGCTTGTACAGTTCAGAGGAGCAGATTGATCACCACAGTGTGGTGAGATTGATGCAGTTGGGGGTGATTAGAGGTTCTGGCAGATGCTCAAGGCTCAGAAAAAAGGCAAGACGGACGTTTATTCAGAATGCTACTGGCACCGTTAGTATCGGAACTATTCGCTGACTGCTGAAGATGGGGATGGAGCGCTTATGGGAATACCCCGAGTTCTGTGATGTCGGTTCTTGAATCAAATCAAATCAAATGATCCTATGCCTCTGTAGTGATCGATAACAACACTTTTTTTAGCCAACCTCATGCAGTATTAAGAGTTGAGAACTGACATCACATTACTCAGGGTAATCTCTTAAGTACACTATCCCTATCTTCAGCCATTGCAGTTTCAGTACCAGTGGTGCCAGTGTAATCAGTCAAATGTAGTGACCCTAAGATTCACAAAACATTGCTGTATATCTCGCTTCATGATGATGATGATATGCTTTTCCTCTTTGTTTACCAGATCCTCTAGTTTTCCTGCGGTGTAAAAGAGTGTAACATTTCACTTTCAGAATTTAAAACCAGACAACCTGAGGTATGAAAAAGGGGAACATTTTGTAAGTACCAGAGAAGCTGACAGGAAAACCAATCATGCAACTGTGTCATTTTATCGTGATGGGGTGACAGGAGCACGGTTTGCCATCAAGACATTACAGGTATGGGCACCACATCACTTTTCTTATTACTTTTTTAAATAACAAAGTAATACTTTTCTTCTACTTAACGTTCACTGTCTGTAAACTGAGGCAGAAAGTTCTGGTGGTTCATCCACTTCTAGACTATTGTCTTGTTTCACTACAAATTAGGCTTTTTAGTTGTTGATTTCTGGCCTCTCAGGCAGATGGGCTCCGACTTTAAAGAAAACACTACTGTTTAGTCACCTTTTATGAAAAACTTCTGAGAGGGGACAGTGGTTTTATTTTTACAAACACCACCCCCCCCCCCCCCCCATTAAAATGGGGCGCTTGGACCAACATGGAAAACAAGGTGCTCATAAAAAACTTTAAAACCCTCTTGAGTAATAAATTTGGATATGTAGTGTCTGTTATATTTTTTCAGGTAAAGCGGGGAATGGAGAATGAGAAGCTATAATGAAATTTATAGTCTGCTTAAATCATCACTGATCAATGGCATCATGAGGGCTATTAGACTGATCTGGCTTAGGCATATTGAGAGAACGTCTGATGACAAAGAGCTAAAAACTGTGTTCACAAGGGAGCTGAATGGTCCTAGAGCATGAGGCAGACCAGGAAGATGGCTTACATAAATAAAAAAAACTTGGTGTCACCAACTGGAAAGAGAAGGTCATCCAGAGAGATGACTGGAGATGGGTGATATTTGTAGCAGTGAACCTCAAGGGCTGAGAATGCTAAGAAAAGATAGAAAATATTACCATGTGGGTGTGAAGTGTTAACCCTTTTAGCACGGGAAGTTTTTCAGAGGTCTAGCCAAAAACACAGAGCATTTTTTCAGTGAATTTTCGTTATTACTTTATTTAATTTTTTTTGACAATTTTCTCTTATTCTGACCCCTATGAAATAATATATCTATTTGAAGGATATAGATTGAAGTACGTGATTTTCACAATATCGTTAAAATTAATTGATGTATATGCAAATTATCTCATTTGCATATCTAAAAATAAAAATATGAATTTGAATTTTCAACTTCAATGCTTGAAACATAAAACTAAAAACAAAAAATTTTTTTATTTGAAATCTTTTTATTGATCTTTGGCTTTTTTACAAACGTTGTAAGCAATTCAATAGTCAAAAACAGGTATATATATATATGTGAAACAGCAATAATATCTTTAGGTGACATGTGTTTTTCACCATCAGTCAGCTCTAGAAATGGATGTGCCGGAGTGTCAACACCTTCGGGTGCATATACCCTGAGCCATGGTTGGGCTGTGGTCTGAGCACAACAGCGTCCCCATCTGATTCCCACTATTACTACTAACACTAAATCCTGCATCAGTATCAACAGAATTAGTGTCATCACTTGATTCAAATGTTTTATCAACATCAAGTTTAGGGGCAGAAACATACGAGTCAGACATACTTTTAGCGGTTAAGGTCACTATCTAAAAAATTCAACAACAATTTTCACACCGATACCAAATACCCGAAAGTCGCCATGTGTAAAGCTGATACCGCAGTTAATATAAATGAATCACTTTCAGTGTTTCAAAGTAGGAGATTTCTTAGCGGTTCGAGGCGAAACACGATCGGGCCGATCATTGGCCGTTCCGTATTTTTGGCCAGACATCCGCCGGCCAATAATCGGCCCGTCCGTGCTAAGAGGGTTAAGTTAATTATATGAGAAGGGTGACCAGTTCCCTTCCTCTTCCACTCCCTCAAAGAAAATTCTGCAAATTATTGTAGGGTTAACACCAGAGATTTCATTCATGTTTTTCATTCATTATCCTATTGTGCCATTGTATGTCACATAGAGCTTGCACTCTATTTCTCCATTCTGCTCTGTCCTTTGCACTCACTTTGATATCATGGATGAAAGCCAGTCCACCACTTTTGGCTTCTCTCATCAACATTTGCATTAGGATTTCTCTTGGACATCCTTGTTTCCTCTATCACTCTATTTCCCTTGTTGGTGTCTGTTTGGGCATTCCTCTTTGCTCAGAATATGTCCAGTATCTTCTGTGTCTTATAACTGTTGACACTAGTGGTTTTCTATTTTTTCTTCACACCTCTTGAATTCATCCCATTTTATGTTCATCATTTTCATCAGGCATTTGTTTTTGAATGCATTCAACTTTCATTCCATGTTTTTAATGGTTTTTAATGAATACAGGAACACTTGTACTTGACATGGGAGATATTCTGAAGACCATATATGAATGAATGTTGACAGAAGACATGAGATAAGAGGAAATCACATGTGGAAGAATGTGTGAATGAGGAATTAGGAGTGGATCCGGCAAGAATCTGAGAGGAAGAGACTTGTGTATAATCCATGTGCTACTGAAACACTTAGCATCTACACCTTAAGACATTTGCTGCGGGTGACGGAGAATCTTTGGATATGCCCTGTGTGCTATGATGTCGATTCTTAAATCAGTAATCCGAAGTAGTTCTCCAGCTTTCACTGGCATATGTTAAAACTGAAATACATTAGAAATGAAAATACTTAACTTAGTTCTAAAATTAAATAACCAGAGATTTACTAAAAATTTACTTTAAAAATTTGCCACCTCTGAAGATTAAACTTAGTTCATTGTTTTGGGCAAGAATAGTTTGAACCACTATGCCACCATTGGTCTTAAAAGTTATTGATTACTCTCCACTTTCTTCATATGGATGTGTTCTGTTATATTTTGTTATTTGGATTCTAAAATTTGAACAAGCCTAAAGGAAAATTTAGTTGTTAGCATATTGAGAGCTGATTGGTCTATTCAGATATTGAACACCTCAAATTTTTGCTGCTGATATTCTAGCAGTTTGTTTAAAAAAAAAAAAATTCACTTGTCCCTATTTCGGTTCTGCTGCCCCATTTTGGGACACACACACAAAAAGACAGATACACTGCCTACTTAACAAATAGGTCATAACAGATGACTGATTAGGTTATAACACCCTAGCTGTAAACCACAACATAACATGCCAACCACTCTTTTAAGGGTTAATGCAGAAGAAGAATTCTGTTATTTTTGCTTTCACTTGTACACTTTGTCATTGACATAATTGTTAGCATTTGACCTAATGGTGGTGAGTTCCACATATAATTATTGTGCCTGTGATGTACTGCCCTATCCTTCATTGTGCTACTTTAAGGCATATGTGATTGATGTTTTATCCCTGGAATCAAACTAAGTGTTCCCTGTGTGGGTTCCGGGACCTCATTGTGAAGGAAGATAAGAATAGACCCATTGCCTCTCAACAAAGAATAGACCCATTGCCTCTCAACAAGCATGTCACAAGAGTCTTTGAAGACAAAGTACATCTGCCTAAGAGGCAAGGAACCAACAATCTGCATACAGTTTGAGTCAGATCTGTTAAATGGAGTGCACCCAACACTCAGGTTCTGTAACAAGACTAAATTCCAGGAGTGGACAAACAACCGGAACTTTCTGCTGGAGTTTATGGCCAGTGTACGTGAAGAAGAAGAAACTAAGGGTATCACCATCTATACCAGCTAGACACTTACAAACTAATAAGCACACAAGCTGGAAAACACCTGTCTGCAGCCATGTGATTTTTGAGTTGAATGCCAGGAATACCATAGGTTGATATGAATACAAATAAGACAGTCCTCCTTGAGACAGATGCAAATTGTAAACTAATCAGAGAATTTAGACATAGACATCATTTGTTGTTAATGTTATGATAAGGAATGAGATTGATAACTTGATAACAGTTGGCAATCTGATGGGGAAAATGCAAGGGGGAGGCAGAGAGGAAAATAGCTGAAGGCATTGCCATATGAATGGGGTGAGATTGGAGTACGAGCTGACCTATGATTCTGGTAAATGCATGAGATGGCAAATTATGACTGCTATTTATCGACAGGGCACTGAGGATGATGAAATAATTGCCTACTGATCAAGAACTTTGGCTCTTGGGTTGGAATCTGCATCATGGTGGATGTTTAAAAATTGACTTAGGGTTCCAAATTTGATGCAGTATTTAAATGGATGTTGGGAAGTTAAGACAGCTAATGTTTTGTTGACCAAATCAGTTACTAGGTGCAGATTTTTCTATGAAAAAATGGATTTAGCACTATATTCTAAATGATTCAGTAGTTTAAAAGGGTGAATTAACACTTCAAATGTTTACAAGTTTGCTTGCAAGGCAGCAGGTTTGTATCCCTCTTTATTTAGTTGATCAGCCTTGACCTGTGCAACATTGAAAACCCTGTCAGTAGTTAATCTACATCAGCTTAGCTTTTGAAGTAATTAAGAACACACTCCCCCCTCTACCACTTCGCAGTGTATTGTGCTTTACAGGGAGAATAGAAAAAGGAAGTAGAACTCCACATTAAAGTATGCACATCAACAGCCTACCGATATTCATTAGGTGGTTACCCCTTCAACAGTTGTTTATTCCATTTATCCCCTAGACAATCTCAGTGAGTGGGGGAAAAGGGGGGGGGGGGGGTTGGGACATGACTTCCATGTCTTGGACATCTTCTGCTGCGCTTTTCGGAGGACAAGACGAAATGGTGATTGTAAGACGCACTGAGGTGGCAGTGATATGTCATCATTGCGGTAGCAAATTTAGTGCCTACCTGCACGAACCAGAGTAACAAATGGACTGTTGGTTCATCAGACAGACGTTTATCGGACAGACTTTGTCAGCTGGCATTAGCAAGGGTGGACGATCAGAAAACTTTGGCTTAAGGGATTTAAAAGTTCTTTACCCCTAGGGGCTTGAACTAGTCTACTGAGGCTATCCCCCACGTTATTCTGCTATGTCCACAATCAGCTCGAAGCCATCTCTGCAGCTTTGCCCAGTAACCAGCTGCTTTAATGTCCATTTACACTTGTTCCTGCGAAAGCCCAGCTGCTACAATACATTGTATTTGGATGGCAAAGAGTTTTACTGCATACCCATCAACATTCCTAAGACTGGCTACCAGATCACTGTACTTCTCAAGCATTTAGAGGTGTTGGCCTTCGATTCTTGTCTTTTACAGCACATTCAGCTTTATTGGGATGAGCTTACACTCTGTTGCCGAGTGCAGCATCATGTCCAGCCTCAGACCAATCTTTCAGATTAGTTTGAGGTACCTCTCTCAAAGCCAGACAGGTCCACCGCCAGTTGCCAATGCCACACACATTCGAGTATGGATGGAGCGTATGCAAATTTATTGAGTGTACCTTCAGATGTCTGCCCAGCCTTGAGGATGCCAGTGAGGGGGGGCATCAAGAATGGTAATGCACTGGCCCTCATCCTGGCATTGTCTACAATGTTGGCCACTCTTTAAAGACCTTACTGTGGTGCCAATTATACCGTCCCTGACCTAAGGCTTTTCTGCATAAGGACAATACATGTTTGAGTGTCTGTATAGCTCTGCACAGGGTAAGTTTCAGGTCAGTGGTTGCTAGCTATTTGACCAGGTTAGCGCATGAGGGTAACACATCGTACCCAGATCTGATGACACAGCTCAGTCACAGTGGAGCCATTCGCCAAATCAAACCTAGGAGAGCTCTCATGGCATGGTGCTCTTGAGGCCGAGCCACAGGCCTTGTAGCCACTGCTTGGCTGCTTTCTGGGCCCACAACTCATTCTCGGTGTCCCTGATTTGTTATGTTACCATATCTCTACGCTCTTTGACCGACGAACAACTCAAACAAGTGCAGCAATTTAAATACTTGGGGAGCATCTTCACTGATGATTTGATAGGGAACTTGAGGCAAGATGTCAAAAGGCGAATGCAGTAACTTACCAACTCTCCCCACTGCTAAAACACCCAAGCATCACTATGGCACTAAAACGACAACTGATAAATTGCATGTTTATGCAAACCCTCTGCTACCAATGCCAAACCTGGTCCCTAACAAGAGCACAGGAGAAAAAGATCACGACGTGCGAAATGAGATACTTATGTAAGGCTGCCAATGTCACAAGGAGAGACAGAGTTCGAAACGAGAACATTAGAGCAATTGTAGGAACCACACCATGCCTGCAATACATAAAGAAGCAACAAATAGAGTGGTTTGGCCACTTGATGCGAATGCAAACCGACCAACTGCCTCTACGAGCATACAACGAACAGTACTACTGCCCTAGAGCAAGAGGCAGACCGAGAGTACGATGGATAGACAATATATCAGAGATCCTGAGGCAACACGGACTAACAACAACACGTGCAACACACCTGGCCCAGGATAGAAAACTGCGACTCCCCACTACGCTGTGAGGCAATTGTGGACAAGACACATTCTAGAACAGTAGTTAAAGGGGAGAGGAATTACTTTATTGCACCAGGTCTTATCACCTAAAGTTTGAAGTCACTCTTGCAGGGCTAAGTTGCCTGCTAAGAAAGGTGCACAAAACACACAATCCATAGCTCCAGCAACAATCTGCAAGAATCTCCAAACCATGTGCAGTTGTTAACCAAAGGACAGTTCTGAAACTAAACACACAACCTTCAGAGTGTGAGGCTGAACTATTTTGCTGCTGGTTTCCCTTACTCTACATTCTATGCAAGCATGGACATGAGTTGTCTTCACCTTCTGCTGTTTTACAGAAAGCCACAACTTTTTATCCAGAAGAAATCAGGGTTGGTTTGACCATTCAGCATCCCAATATCTGTTCTGTATATGGGATCATCATCAGAAATGGCACAGTTCACATTCTACTTGAACATGCAGGTATTCCGCCATTCTAATTTTGTGTAACTTATCCTTACTCTGCTTTATGTTCCTCTTTAACAGTTGTCATGTAGGGAGATATGCAGATGTGTCATGTAGGGAGATATGCAGACATGTCATGTAGAGAGATATGCAGAAGTGTCATGTATGGAGACATGTCATGTAGGGAGATATGCAGACATATCATGTAGAGAGATATGCAGAGAGATATGCAGACATGTCATGTAGGGAGACATGTCATGTAGAGAGATATGCAGACATGTCATGTAGGGAGATATGCAGACATGTCATGTAGGGAGATATGCAGACATGTCATGTAGGGAGATATGCAGACATGTCATGTAGGGAGATATGCAGACATGTCATGTAGGGAGATATGCAGACATGTCATGTAGGGAGATATGCAGACATGTCATGTAGGGAGATATGCAGACATGTCATGTAGGGAGATATGCAGACATGTCATGTAGGATGATAGGCAGACACTTTCTGTGCTACCTGTTTTAGGTTTAGTTCTCTGACTTCCATTTTATTTCAGTTCAGTCAGAGACTTCTCAGGTAATTTTGGAAATTCAGAAGGTTTTTACTCCTTGCTTTTCACTATTTGTACTTGATGTCACTCCCAGACTTTTCCCACTATGCAGATATGACCAGATGTCAGTTAACTTATTTGTCTGCACTGATATATCTACAGGTTGTAGATTATAGCGGATGTTCTTATATAATTTAGAGTGCTTAGATAATCTCTAAATGGCATGTTGCAATGTTTTTTAAAAATATACCCTCTTGCCAAGGCATCCTTAACTTGTCTCATTGATGAAAATATTTACTTTCTTCTTCGCTTCTTCTTTTACTCAAGTGGTAAAAATAGGAGTGACTGCAGTTAAGTTAATACTAAAAAATAATCCCTATTTCATTGGGCTTTTTAGTCACAGTTCACTGGATTAATATCTTTTATTCAAGGCAGATGCAAGCTTCTGAATATTTCTTTTTGGACATATCTTCACGAGCATAAACAGTTGCTTTTAACCTAAACATGTTTTTGAATTGATGGTATTTCCAGGTATATTGATGCATATTCTGTTTTCCACTGCTTTGACATTTGCTATTAGTATCTGGTTTCTGTGACCTATGATTCTTTTCCATTTAGTTTTCTGTTAAAATATAATCTATGCTTTAGCAGTTTTATGTTACAAGAAGTTTTTATTTCTGGTTCTTTCTGTGTTAAAAAAATGCTAATAGTTTTTTTTAAAAGCTTCTCATTACAGTAGCTCTTTTCTTTCCATTGATACTCCTTATCCAGTTTCTGTTATAGATTTTATGTCATCATCATCATCTGTAAACTGTGTTTGTTCATAGCTTTAACCATGCCAAACCATCAATTTCTTTGCTATCCCTGTAGTTTCTTCTGTCCCACATTTCCATTACCTAAATGTTTATGAATCTCTTTTCACGATTTGAAATTGTTCTTCACTTACAATGGATCTTTCATTCATTTTTTACATATAAAGTGCAGTGAGCCAGTTGACATGCACGTGAGCCATGCACTTGTCTGATGGTGGGAATGTCATATGTTTGAATCCTCTGTGAGCCAGAAATGTGTTGTTTTGGCCTGCTTAATGCTAACAGTGTCAAAAATAGACCCTTACTAAAACTAATGAGGGCAATGAACTGGAGCGCAAAATCATGTGACAATTTATTAATGTTGTACACTCTGTTGTACACTGTATATTCAACAACCAAGTATTTAGGCCTAGGGTGCCTACTCTAACATTCCGCTGGATATCTCCTTGATGGATGTGCTACAGTGGAGTCCTGCATATTATAATAACTGCACACTTGGCACAGCATCATCTAATACAGTTGTTATCTTTACGAGTCAACAATAACGCTTGTGACAGGCCACATAAACTTTACACGTCACAAGATGATGATGATTATTCATTAAAACATGTACGATAATAAATCTCTATTATCTACTCTGATGATATAAAAGATTACAATCTTTTCTCAATGGACTCCTGCCATAATAATAAACTAAATAGACATTAAACTGTCTCCCGCAAACAACGGTAAATCAAAACCTCACAAAGAGAAACGTTTTTATAATATCCTCAACACAATGTTTCCACACGTCCGACTTGGACAATGGAAACTTCTCAACTGCCCGAGCCTTTGTCTTCATCGCCCAGAATTCAGTTAGGTCATGAAATTACCATTGCCTAGGTAACGACCCGTGGTCGCTGTCTGAACTTTCACCTGTGCTGTTCCCACTAGAAGAAACTTCAACTCTCACCAAAAAAGATTACAACAATTAAAGAGCAACAAATGAGATGTTTTAGCCATCTGACAAGAATGCCCTAGTGCCATTTGCCATAGAGAGCCATGCTGAAGAAATGTAACACAGCAAGGGGACGACCATGCAGAATATGGAACAGTGACATCAGAAATAGCCTTAGAGAAAGGAAGACCAACCTATGCAGCCCATTGGAAGGAGCACACAGAAGATCCTCACAACACCCCCCCCCCTTTCCACCCCCATCCTTTACATTTCCCCTCAACTCTTTGATGAGTTAACTGAAGGAAGTGATGTAGACGAAGAAAATTCATATTTACCTTGGGACAAGTACACGCATTAAAGTATCTTGTTGCATAGATAACATTGAGTGGAAGATGTCTTTCAGGGATAAAGAAGGATAAAGGATAAGTAAAAACCACATTTTTTAAAATGAAGAGCATTGTATGCAACAAGTCTGTTTTGCTGGATTTAGTAAAATATTTATGTCTGTTTACATTGAACCAGATTTGGCATACAGAAGTGAGTCATGGAAAGTTAGTGAAGACCAAACTTCAAAGGTTCCAGGTAGTTAGTATCCTTTGGATATTTTATTCAAGTTATGCCTGTGCATTGGGAAATGAGCAGGCAGATAGACAGGCCGGTTCTGCACCACTTGGTACTGAACTGATGTATGACAAGCTATATGTTGTGAGGGACCTTTGGGAGCGAGTAAACAGTGCCGAGAAACAGATAGCTCATTACGGTCTGAGGAGAATGGCACTGCGAGGAGTTACAAGGGGATCTGGCTGACACTCGACACTCAAGGGAAAGACTAGACGGATATACAATCAGACAGTTACTGGTACCATCGGAGTTTCAACTCTCAGCTTGCTGCTGAAGATGGGGATGTTCCAAGTGCTGTGATGTCAATTCTTAATTTAACATTCAAAATTTTAGTGAAGACCAAAATAGCCACTATGAGGCTCCAGACAAAAATGCTTAGAATGCTTGGATGGCTGATAATCTTTATGATTTGAAAGAGGCTAATATGCAAAGACAACTTATTACAAGGCAGTCTTTTATTGACACAATACTAGGGGCCACGTTATGAGAATGACTTCTGATATACCTGCCAAAACAGCTCTCACATGGACACCAGAGGGAAAGAGAAAACAGGGGCGCCCAAAAACAACATGGAGACGAACGATGGAAAGTGACCTGAGTGAGGCATCTTTGACATGGGAAAACTGCATTGAAGATTGCACAGGACAGGAAAGTCCTCTCTGAAGCCTCATGTGCCACTAGGCATAACGAGAACTGATGATGATGATACTAAGGACAAAAAAAAGTGGATCATTTTGTGATCGCTGGAATGATTTATGGAGGAGAAATGGAGAAAAACCAAGAGAGAGGATTCTTTACAGCTGTTTATCAAGCATGAGAATTTATAAATGCTGTTGGGAGATACCAGGACTTGAAGAAATATGAAAACTTACAGCAATCAGCAGGACACATGATGAATGAATTCATAGCTTCAAAGACTTTTGTTGTCGTTGTCAGCTGCATGTGGCTCTCTAGTTTTGACACTGTTCTTGCATTGTTTGCTATCAGGATCACCACTGTACCAGGAAAGGGTCTGGATTGCCGAGTGCCCACAGCGTGCTCTATCATTTGCCCAGCAGAGCTTTCAAGCGTTGGACATCATTCATGGACATGGTTTTGTCCACTGTGACATCAAACGTACGTTTCTCTCTCATATTCTCTGTACTTTTTACTGATTAGAACTTCATGTTCCCAAATCTTCCTGACCAACAGGGCTCTTGTGAAGTTGTGACAGACCCAGCAGGCCAGCATTGATTTATTATTGCTACAAGCATGCTACTTCCTCCGAGACCAGACAAGTGGAACACCTTGTGCGGAGGAAAACGTGCAAATTCCACTACATGTCACTGGGCCAGAGGGCGAAAGCTCATGCACTGCTGGATCGAAAACAACAACAACATCACTACAAGCAGAACCTTTTATCTACCTTAACACCTGAAGCAGTAAAATAAGATTTGAATAAGAAGAAGAACAAGAAGAAAACTTCCACCATCTCCTTTGCAGTATATGCAGTGTCACAATGTCACAACTATAATCACAGTGTTTGTGTGTGTTTGTGTATATATATATATACATGGTATATATATATATATATATATATGTATGTGTATGTATGGCTGGTGTATTTGCCTATATACATGCACATACACCAGCCACACACGTACATACACCAGCCAAATATTTATGTATATATATGTATATGTATCTATGACTGGTGTATGTGCATATTACAGTAAAAGTTACATAAATGAAGCAAATAAGTGAATCCTTTATTACTGAAGTGCAAATTACACAATCATCAAACATAACTGCCTGTTTTACCAGGGCAGCCTCAATGTCAAAACCAAGACCGGCTGCAGCTGGTTGGGTGATGTCAGCAGCATGGCCCATTAGATGAAGCTGGTCTTGGTCAGAACTATATCTTTCTGTATACAGAGATCAGGGCTCGGGTAACAAATTGCGGCAGCTTCAATAAATCTTAGCTTCCTGCCATTGGCTGATGTGTGCAGGGTTTGAAATGCGTTATTCTTGGATACAGATTTTAAAAGCTGGTATGCTATTGAAGAGAGATGGTCCTTACAGCCGGTATTCTCATTTGAACATTATTTTGCATGGCTTTTTCCACCAAACTGGAATGTGTTAAGCAACATGTTTCTCCAGGCGTCGATCAGTTCTGCTTCACAACTGCATTTTAATTGGTAGATACAATTTAATTTGGCGTACGTCGACACTTTAAAAAAAAAAAAACTGGCAGTGTAGGAATTACAGCGGTTTTAAATCTGATAACAGTCTGACTGACTGTAGTTTTGAGCCGGTCATATAAACGTTGCATAGCATCATCTTCCCGAATTATTAGATGGATATAAGGTTGTTTTTTTTGGGTACCGACATATCTGTGGCAATTGGCCTGGGTGTCTGGCTGTGGCACTTTTTTTGTCAACTATATGACCACAAGAACACATCTGTCAGTTTGTCCAGTTTGCAGTCACAAAAGCACATCTGTCAGTACCTGAGGTATGAAATCACTAGAACACATCCCTCAGTGTGTCAAGTATGCGATCACAAGAACACACCTGTCAGTGTGTCAAGTTTGTGATCACAAGAACGCATCTGTCATTGTGTCGAGTATGTGATCACAAGAACACATCTGTCAGTGTGTCAAGTTTGTGATCACAAGAACACATTTGTCAGTGTGTCAAGTGTGGCGCGGTGATTTATGTCACAGGCGTGAGGGGAAGTTAAGTCCAACATGATGTGTATAAGGAGATACTCCGTACGTCACTCGGGCGCCAGTCCTTTACTATCCTGGTTGTACGGAACCTCACGCAAGACCCCTACAGCACATCCTCGTCGTGCGCCACGGATAATGTCTCAAATGAGCATTAACAGAGCTGTCAGGGGATCTCGGAGTTTGGCGGCCCCCAGAGGTGATGTGTCCTTGTGGCTCTCATCAGCCCGCCCCCAAACGCTTGGGTGAAAAATGTTATCAAAACTCACCAGGAACATGAGTAGGTTTGACAAAAGTACAGCTAAAATTACAACCCTTGGTTAAAAGACTGCTGAGTAAAGAGAACATTGCTCAATGCTCATCCTCGGTTAATTCTCAGTGTCGTCGTCACCGCGCTGAGGTGCACCACAACAGCAACCATACATGGGCTGGCCATCCTTGTGCATCCTCGGTTGGCCCTCAGTGTCGTCGTCACCGCGCTGAGGTGCACCACAACAGCAACCATCCATATGCTGGCCAGTCACGTACATCCTCGGTTAACCCTCAGTGTCGTCGTCACCGCGCTGTGGTACACCACAACAGCAACCATCCATCGGATGGCTAAGCCTAAATATCCGACAAAACTAGATCATACGGATCAAAATCTGACCATCAAAATTTGCACTGAACTGAAAAAGGCCGAATGTCCACACCCAAAGACCCCACTCGCCCGAGTGTTGGGACAAAACTGATAACGATATGCCTGATTCAGGATGTGAAATTCTGTCGGGCTAATGTACCTATCTGTGTGGTCACAAAAGTCCAAAACCCTTGGGCTGCTCCCCGCTGACTTCCAGAGGGCGCAGCCCCTGTCGAGCGGGAGGCCTGATACGGTTGTGAGGTTAAGCAGGCATGTGAAGGACGTGACGATTCCTTGGGTGAGCCCAGAACCAGAGCGCTATGTGCCGGCTCTGCATGCATGGAAGCCTCCTTGGATGGCGGGGAATGCCCATGATCTGCCCCTGCCTTCCCTTGAGGGCCAACTGTTCCACAGGGGGCTGCCCCAAAGGGGTACTCCGGGGGCAATACCTGCAGCGAAGGAGACAAGGCGGACACCACACAAATCAGGCAAAGTCTCGACCCACACAAAACAATGGCCACAGTCACCCTAGAAATAGGCCTGACGTCTTCCTTCGAAGTCGGCGTACAGCTGCCCAAGAGGCAGGGAAATGAAAAACGGTTGTACACGCAAAAATCAGGTCCGGGTGAAAGCCAAAAGTCCAAGCAGACGATTAACCGGGACCTTCCACTGGAATTCACAGCCGGTGTTCGATGAAAAAAAAAAAAAAAGTGTGTCAAGTTTGTGATCACAAGAACACATCTGTCAGTGTGTCACGTTTGTGATCACAAGAACACATCTGTCAGTGTGTCAAGTTTGTAATCACAAGAACACATCTGTCAGTGTGTCAAGTTTGTGATCACAAGAACACATCTGTCAGTGTGTCAAGTTTGCGATCACAAGAACACATCTGTCAGTGTGTCAAGTTTGTGATCACAAGAACACATCTGTCAGTGTGTCAAGTTTGTGATCACAAGAACACATCTGTCAGTGTGTCAGGTATAATTTTACAAGAACACATCTATCAGTGTGCCAAGTTTGCGATCACAAGAACACATCTATCAGTGTGTCAGGTATAGTATCACAAGAACACATCTATCACCATCTGGGAGATACTGAGTCAGTTGAGCAGGCAGATGGGACAGGTGTTCTTTGCTCAAATGTGTTTGTTAAAATGGCTGACTGGAAGTCCCTGAAAAGGGGAGCTAACTAATGTTGTTCATCCAGCTTCCAACTTGACTTTGTTTTTAACCATTTTCATACAGAAATTTAGAATAAATGTTAGGAAACCTAAGTCTAGACCTACTTGTCACAAATAAACAAATGTTAAAGTGGTCACCCTCAAGTAAGCAGGTTCTATTATCATGTATCAGGTCCTTTGAATAATGTTACTATCTTTGTGCAACTCAGAAAGGTAGTTCATACAACTGTTTTCTCTTCATTTTACACCTTGTGTTTGACATTTTCTTACTTTGTTGTACATGGTTACATGTGTTGTTAAGAGTTATAGGGAATACTGTTGCTCTGTGTATCAAGTGATACTCTTGTATCTCCTTCAGCAGACTGTGTGTAGTTTTACAGAAGCTCATGTAAGACTCCTGTCGCACACCAGAAATAAATAGGGCTATCAAAGTTCTGTGCCAGACTGGCCAGAAAACAAAATGTTGGTGCACTTGACCTGATATACTTTTCGCGAAACCATATAGTAGAAATTCTCTGGCACTCATGGGCCACTTACAAATTATAAGTAAATGATGTTCATTGAAAGTACGCCTTATTAGGAACATTTTTGGTGCTCTGAATATACTTCATGCACCCAAAGAAAGACTAAAACCTAGTCTCTGTGTTGGGAAGCTAGTACACAAACCACATTAGAGCTGTAGCGGTACATGACAATCACTTATGTTGATATGATATTTTCCAGCATTTTAGATTTGTTGTTGATTATGATCCACATAGCGGACAACATAATGATTGACCGGCACAACAACAACAAGTTCACTGTGAAGTTGATTGACTTTGGAACCTGCCACACTAAGGGAGCAAGACTCTCCAGCACTACTGCCAACACCACCTTTCTGTATTGGTCACCAGAGATTTGGCAAGCACTTGCTAATCAGGTAATTTATATTTATATGTGTGTGTGTGTATATATATATTGTTAACCTTCAGGTTGCAGAGGTGCTGAACATCTCTTGTTGGTGCACCAGTAAAGGGTCTCATCCTGGTTGAGACATGTCTGCACCTCTCCTTGGTCATCCAAGAAGCACAGTGAAGAAGCAGAAGATGAGTTACAATTGCCTTTATTGGTATGTCTAGTGTGTCATGTCAAAGTGTTCTTATTGTGTATACTGCTGTTGAGGTGTGAAGTTTTAGACTGTCACATATTCTAAGCTTTGAAGTCATGAAGTGGGGTGACCAGTGTCGTTCACCACCATTCCTCCCTTGATAATTAAGTAAGTAAAGTAAAGATCCCCTTTCAAGCCATAGGTGCATCAGGCATATGGGAAGAGCACCCATACTTTTGCAGTCCAATCGGCACTAGGTGGGTAATGTGGTCAGCATTACGCCGGCCATCTTTAATTCCCCAGGACAGCCATCCTGGTACCCATTTTAGGCTGGGTAGACCTGCGACGCCCCATACCATGATAGAAATCCACGCAGCCGTCGCTGGGTTTCGATCGCAATTAGGAAAATGAGACTAGGTAAAACCAGAGCTGTCCTGGTTTTAAAAAAATAATAAAAAAAAAATACTTCCGCTACTAGGGATTAAACGTGGACCACTGCCTTTATTGGTGAGTAAACTAACCAGTCTGCCATCCCTCTCATAAATTGAATGATTGAATGAATCAAGAATTGACATCCCTGTACTCAGGACATTCCCACATGTGGTGGGCGTTTCCTTTTCTACTTGCCAACAAAGAGTCAGCATGCTAATAGTATCAGTTGCAACCTGATTAAATGTCCACCTATGTTTCCTCCTCAGCATTGACTATCTTCCAGAACCCCTGCTCACCCACATTGAACAAGTCTTTCAGTGAACTTATGCTGACATAAGTTGTGTACATAAAGATTTGAGTAGGTGCTCATACTTTGTAGGTCTTAGTTGTAGTTACTGGAAAGACAAACATTCTCATTACAACATCCACAGCACATAGCTAGCAGACGAAGTGTGGGTCAACATTACCAAAATACAGTTACAAAAACCGGGACACTTTGGGAACAAGCAACACATGCGGCTAAGAAGTAACAAATCACAGTACAAAGCTTGGACAGAAATGACAAGCAAAATGATCAGCAAGGAGAATAAAATGAAGTATTTAGATACTTAACTTATCAGCTCCAAATACATAAATAGTGAACTCAGATGGAAACTATAACATTTCCACTGCAGTTAAACCCATTTTTTGTCACCAGTGATTTTGATTTTATCCAAAGCCTTATATACGTAAAACATGATGAGATGTGATACTTTAGGAAAACTTCAAATTTAAATAAACGAGGTTGCATGAGAAAATATTGATTGTGAGGACGACAACCTCATGCCAGTCACATCGAGGAAAAAAAGATCAAATGGTTTCATGATATGAGAGCAATATAGCTCTTAAGAAGATAGGTTAACAACATTAAAGACATTGTTCATCCACACAGATTGTTACTTGTTATCTCTATCAACATCCTAAAATATTGGTCCGACTTGTTCCTGTTCCATCCTTTAATGCAGCAGCCATCTCAATGCTGAAGATACCAAGTAGCAGTTGATTGGCAAATCTTTCTTCGCCCCACAACCAATTTCTGCATGCTTGTGCTCATTTAAAACCCATTTCCAATAGGCAATTCATTGTTTCTGCCTCTTTCCTCGCAGAGTTTCTAGAACACAGCACATTCAATATGTCTGCCCTGCCTATACTTTCTCTATAAACCACTGCAGATATGGCCAGTCTGTCGGCTCTTTCATTTCCTTTCACCCCGGTATATCCAGTGTGTACAGCCAAGAGAGTTTCTTGATGTGAGACTTCTTGATATTGTTAACCCATTCTAGTCTGAGTTTGCCAGCTGGATTTTCTTAAGTATGCTAGCTAATTGACTCTTTCACTATTGATGCGTGAGTTGTTTTCTGCTGTTCTAGCCATTTAAGTGCCCCAGTGGTAGCTTCTGTCTCCATCATCATGCAGAAGTATTTGAACTGAATGCCTTACTTTATTTTTTTTTAAACCGTCTTTCCATTTACCTACACTGTGTATGCCCACCCAGACTACACCCCATGAATCATGGAGTCATTTTTATAGATAATGATGTCACAAATCTTTCCTGTCTCATGACACACCTGGCATATGAAGTGACTAACAAAGGAACAAAGCAAAGGTTGAATGTGGTTTAAACACAACCTGTGATGAAGCCAAGAGGATTTTATGAATCAGCAACAGAAACAAGTGAGAAGCAGAAACACCCAGTCATCAAAGATGTGTCGCACACTACCAACTCAGTAGAAGTGAACACACAGTCATCTTCAGATTCCTTAGTCTTTTAGATTTATGCACTTTGCAAGAATAGAATAAAACGCATAAGACAGTGTAATTGGCGAGAGATAGAGTAATTCCAGCAGCAATGATAAGAGTGAGGTTTTGCAAAAGACTTGCAACAAGATGATGGGGCTATACAATGTATAAAAACTTAAACAAGAAAAGATCAACATTCGTATGTTGCTTTTTTCAGAAGGAGATCATATGCAGACCAGCAATGGATGTTTATGCGCTTGCACTGACCCTGCATTTTGTTCATACGTCAAGTCATTTGATGCAAAGATTTAAAGATGAGGACTTGAAAAATGTGGTAACAGTTTATCATTTTTATGTCCACACTAGTTTCATTGTCATCAGCATCCTGTGCCATGACATGATGTGTATTTGATTAAACTGTTTCTCAACAACTTTATATTTTCTATATTCTTTATAAATCCAATCACTGATCATGTTCCATACTACTCTGCCAACTGTCTTTCTCTAAAGTCTACAGCCTTCATGACTCTGATCCGTCCACATTCTTTGTCTTTAACATTGTAAAATATGTTTAGCTTGTGTTATGGTTGAAAAAAAACAGAGTAAATAACTCTTTGCACACCATTAGCACATCAGGCGTATTATGTTAGACTCCAGTTTGTATAGACCAGTTCCATCACTGGCTAGTATGGTCAACAGCTTGCTGGCCATCTTTTCTTCCTAGTTTCCTGGTACCCATTTAAGGCTGGGTCCACTTGGAAACCAAGGTATATTATAACAGAAATCTACCCTGATAGGCATTTGAACCTTAGATCCTAGGACTTGCAAGCATGATATAGTCCCTGCATTACCACAGCTCCCACTTTCTGTATGTGAAATCACATTCTGGTAGTGCTTGGATCAAGTAAAATAGAAGTGCCCTTTTCATGCTGTGAGGTTAATTAGGTATATGGTGCTAGCTTCAGTGTTTTTCACTCTTTATTTAGTCAACTGTGTGTTCATTCCGTGCACAGAGATGATTTTTTTGCCTGGATTCATCATGATCAAAATTACTTAAGATAGTAGTGTTCCTCCAACTGATCAGAGAACACATTCCTGCCTTCATCCTGATCACAGTTACAGTCACATCTCTACACAAACATAGACAGTTAAAACATCATACAAAAGTCAAATATAAATAGTTGTATCACATCTTCAGCTCAATAATTCTATATATGCTTATTCTAGTCATTATTGCCATTTTAAGTCTTGTTTCTTGTCTTTGTGTCTACAAAAAAGAAACACCCATGATTAATTGCAGATGATGAAGACACCAGATGACATCTTGCTTGTTGCTTTGCCGGAGACCATCCCTTCAGATTTGTCAGTGGTGGTGAAGAGTTGTCTGGATGGCAACCATGAGACTCGCTCCAGTGCTCAGGAAGCATTGAAGCTTTTGACAGGTATCAGTTTGCCTTTCTCAAGTGGGAAAGCAATATTTGTTGAGTTAAATTAAGAAAGTTTGTCAGCATGGTTCATCATTTTTTGTTTCAACCTTAGCTTAACTCTTAACTCTAGCCAAACAAAAATTATTATTATATTGTAGACTTCAATGCACACAGGGCATAACTGAAGGTGCTCACTCATAAGAAGTTGGCGAAGAGTATCTAGACAATCCCAGTCAACACAGTCATACAAAGCATATTCATTTTAATCCTATGCTAAAAGTGTCAGACATGGTAAGGCACAACAAACCTGAAAGAAAATTAGTAACCATGAAAATTAGATATCTGAGAAGAGCTGCAGGAGTGACCATAAGAGAGAAAAATCAGAGAAAAAGTTGGCACTGAATCACTTCTAAATTACACACAAAGACAGCAAATAAAATAGTTTGCCCGCTTAGATAGTGATACTATACCATTTGGTGCAGGAAAAAGCTATAGACCAGGCTGACATTCTCAGTGCTTTAAAGGAGGTAGGATGAGAAGATGATTTAGGAAATGGCATTGAATCTGTCAAAAGACTACAAGAACTTAGGTCAAAAGAGATGTTACCCAGCATAAACACTATACGGGTAGCCAAAGAAGAATAGTAAACCAACACAGAACTGATGTTTTCACTCGCCACACGCTGAGGGATACACTGAAGATAGGATCTGAGCGCGTGTTGACGTATCTAATATGCAATGAGGATAATCTGTCGAATAACTAACTAACTCATTGAGTGCCAGTCAGTCTATAAAATTATGGGTCTGGTGCCATGTGCGTGATCTGTTAGAAGCAAGGTGCTTGCTTCACCTGTTTTACTCCTGTTTATTGCAAGTTGTTCGTTTATACAGTTTGATAGTTTGTGCAGGTTGTTAGTTTGCGCTGGTTGTTTTTTGTGTGTTAAGGTTAGTTGTTTATTTTTTTAAACTGCTTTTTACCCTTGCCCCTCGACAATAAGCTGTGTCTTTTTCTTCTTTCTTTGTGTTTACTGGCTGTAAATTCTGATGAAAAGTTCAGGTTGTTCATCCATGTCTGGACTTGAGTCTTGTTCCAGAAATTGAGATCTACATGAACATGTGTTTTAAAAATCTGGTTTATTTGTATGCAGACTATTAGTTCCTCACCTTAGAAAAAAAAACACCCCTAATAAGACACCTTTTACAACACTTGTTAGGCGGGCAGTGAGTCTATTCTTCTTTTCCTGCCCGCATGGGGAGTCTTTTTTTTTATGTTTTTGATCATTTATCTTCAATATCAAATGAAATTATAAGACTTTTGTGCAATTTTGAAATGGATGCATATATGAAAACATTTATTTTTCAGCAGATCATGCCCTGATGAGATGGTCTTCATCTACCAAAGCAGATGAAAACTACAAGGATTCATTCACTAGGATGTGTTCTTCAATTAACAGATGTACTACAAGGCATACAAAGTCTGATACATCCAATACAGATTTCAAAATTTTGACTGCTTCCCGCACATCTCTGAACTCCTCTGAAAAGGACACATCTACATCTAGCAGCATCAGTGGAGAAAAAAGGGAGTTGAAAGCTTCTGTTAAAGCTAGAAAAATTTCTCTCAATCCAGCCAATAAATTTAACAAACCATCACACAAAGGAAAGAAAGCAGCCAAACTGCCACCAAAGCTGTGTTTTCAGACAATGTCACTGGAGTCACTACAGGCACCTTTGGTCAGCACAGAGTCTGATTTAGAGAAGACAATGGAAATCAAACTGGATGATAAAGATTACTCTTATTCAGCTCTCCTGAAAAATCTGGCCTTACATGTAAAGGAACCACATCAAGTGAATTCTTCCTACGCACACTGCAAGAGTACTGACAGGTCTGAGGTAGTTCATTCTCTTACTACAGACAGTGCCACTGAGACAACTAAGAAAGGAGCAGGTAGTTGTAGTTGGCCTGAGAATCCAATCATTAGTAAGTCGACAAAATTCAGTGGAAACAAACCAAAGCCAAGAAATGAGGGCACATCTCTTTTGCTGACAAAGCATACAACTCTAGGAAGTTCTGTAAGCAAAGAGGAGAACGTGCAAATGGATTGTCAGACAACATCTAATTGTAGCATTAGAGTGCAGGAAGGCAGTTCAACAGCCAATTCTGGAGTTGTTGCAGATGATATGGGATTTGTGTTTAGTGCCTTTGGGGATACTGAATTTGCTGCGGCTGAAGATATTCTCGACAATTGGCTCAAGATGATTGATGAGCAGAAAGAGCCCAGCTGTGACACTAAGCAGTTGGATGTTAATGCACATCAGACCAGAACTATAAGACAAGATCAGATTGTTCTGAATAGACAAGATGAACCAATGGATACAGACAGTGAAGATGTTTCTGTGCCAGCAGGAAACATTCAGAACAATGTTAACATTCCAGCCACCAAGGGCAACAGAAAGCGGCTGGCAGATTCATCTGCCAACAGTAGTGGTATTCCCGGAAAGGCAGTATTTCTGACTGCTTCACAACAGGAGATGAATACCAAACAGTTGCCTGATTTTGATCAAATTTTGCCTGAGAATATTTGACTACTCTGTTTTTACTGTATATTCTTTACCTAATGAGCTTGTTCTTTCTTTGAAACCAATGCTCGGTTAATTGTACTTGATAGTATCTGTGTTCTTTCATCAGATGAATTTGTTATAGCTGGTTAAGATTCACAAGTGTATAGTTTTACAATTTATGGCTGCAGGAATTTGTTTCCTGTCATTGCTGTACTGCACTCAACTGTGTTAATTGTGTACTTATTTCTCATTAATCAACAGTGGATTTTCTGATACAGATATTTTGATTCAACTGATTCAGATAATTTATATTTCTATTTGGGCATAATTTATTTTGAGCATTTTTATTCTGTAAAATGTCTGACATTGGCTCTAGTATTTAGTATGTATTTGTATATGTCGGTGGTGGGTGGACTTATTGGATTATTTTATTGATATAGGGTTATATAGGGTTATACTCACTGCCCCCTCACACGCATGTCCTAAAAGGCAACTATGCAGAATATGTCCTGCAAAGTTGGAGTGCCTCTGCCTGGCAGGCGAGAAACCAGCAGCCTGCATTAAGAGCCAGATCTGTAAAATGTAAAAACTATCATGACGATGGAGGTGATGATGGTGACACAAGCTTTCATGTGGCTAGAACCACAGGACTATTTCCATGTGTGTGTGTGCTGAGTGATTCTTTGAGCATGATCCAACGGGTTGAGGCAGGCTGGTTACGCAGACAGTGGGTTGAGTCATTACAAAACTCTCCTGTGTGTGCAGTTACCTTCATATTTGTTTTAGGTTATGCGTATGTTGTTGGTAATGAAAGAGCTGATAGACTTGCAGGTGCCACAATAACTTAAGATGGCCAGCCCATGGATCACGCAGGCATTGTCAGTGCCCCTAGAGAGATAGGATGTTCCAAGGATTTTGGAAGCAACGTGTCCACATCACTGCTAAGAATACGAGAATTTGGAGTAAAGATGGGCAGAGCCAATCATACTTAGTCAACCAGCATAAGACTGGAACTTTTAACCGTGCAACGCTGATGAATATGTTGAGAGGGGAATCTGAGCACCTGTGGATGTGTCAAGAGTGCTGTGAAGATAATCCAACTCATAACTCAGTGGATGTGCACGCAAAACTAAAGTTCTGTAGCAAAGTGTAGAGGTGGGCGAACAACCAGAAGTTTACAGCTGGTACTGCTAAGAAGGAATAGCTTACAATGTGTCTGTTATTGTGCTTTAAATACTTTAATTATTTATATTTTAATGCTTATATTTTATTTTCCTTTGGGCATTTTTCACTAGTAGCCTGGGCTGTCACTGTTTTATAAGGACCTGTGACAAATCTAGATTCCATCTGATCATTCTACCTGCTGATCACTTGTAATCTGAGATTTGTTTTCTTCACCATCCATACATGAAATCTAGGAAAAATCATATCCTGGGAAATGAATTTGACCACTTTTTCTTTGTTCTTCTGCTGCATTCGCCTTTAAAAGTATGGTTGGCAGACTGTGTTATGGTTTACAGCTAGGCTGCAGTATCTGCATCTTACTGTCCTGGCAGGCAAACACACTAAACCATTGAATTTATAGTTATTTCTTCACATAAGCTCAACTATGGTCACTTCTTTTTACATCACACTAACTACTACTTCATTTTAGAGGTTGCCACAGATGAATGTAAAATGGAAGTAATGCAACAGACTGAAAACCCAATAAGATATGGGAGCAATAGAAGAGAGTTAAAATACTGTGTAACTCATCTCACAGGATTGTTCTTAACACTTTAGAGACTGTCAAACTGAGTTGGATGCCCTTCTCAATACAGACATAACATGTGATAGGGCGTCAAGAGGAAACTAAAAGAAAATACAGAACCAAATAGAAAGTAGTGCATCCTGACACTCAGAAAGATGATGCTTATTACCAGCTGTACAGGCAGCTGTCTGCACATAATAGACTGGGATATCATCTGTCAGCTAGACTAGGATACAGTCTGGTCAACTAGACTGGAATACCATCTGGTCAACAAGACTGGGATACCGTCTGTCAGCTAGACTAGAATACAGTCCGGTCAACTAGACTGGAATACCATCTGGTCAACAAGATTGGGATACCGTCTGTCAACTAGACTAGGATACAGTCTGGTCAGCTAGACTGGAATACCATCTGGTCAACTAAACTGGAATACCATCTGGTCAGCTAGACTGGGATACCATCTGTCAGCTAGGATACAGTCTGGTCAACTAGACTAGAATCCGATCTGGTCAACAAGACTCAGATACCATCTGGTAAACTAGACTGAAATACCATCTGGTCAACAAGACTGGGATACAGTCTGGTCAACTAGACTGGGATACCATCTGGTCAACTAGACTGGAATATCACCTGGTCAACAAGCTAAGGATAGAAGTTAAAAGAAGCATGTAACTGTGGAATTGATAAGATGTCAGCTAGTCACTGGCTGCACAGTTATGCAACATATAAAGACTGGAGAGAATACTGTTGGCCTAAACCAGCGGTTCTCAGTCTGTGAGTCGCGACCTTTTTGGTGTCCAATGACCCTTTCACAGGGGTCACCTAAGACTATTGGGAAACACATATTCAGATCAGTTAGCAACAAAAATCATTCTATTGTTGGGGGTCACCACAACATGAGAAACTGCGCTAAAGGGTTTCAGCATGAGGAAGATTGAGAACCACTAGCCTAAACCATCTGCTTTTTACGACACACACTCTGAAGGCATTAACAAGCTGAAGTCGACTACTGCTTTCTGTTAATGTCAGAAAATAACTACAGTACTTCATCCAAAATTCTGGTGATTATGTAAGGTGGCAAACCATGACTGCTTATGATTGACAGCATGGCTGGCACATGATGATGTTAATCTGTAAGTCTATTCCGGCTAACATTGGAAGATGTATTGAGAAATGAGAAAGAATCTAGGTATGTTAGTTAACAATCCAACTTCTTCTCTGCCACATGCTTGGGTTAATAAATTATGTATTGTGGTTGCTTTAAAAAAAATGTATCAGAAAAACGTTATCCCATTATATTGTCTAAATAACTCTATGCGTGCCTTAAACAAATAACAAGGTAAATTGTTATCTTTATTGCTCCTACAGTTACTTGTCCATACACTTATTGACTGCGGAACTTGGGGCAATGTCAGCCATGCTTCATTTCTTTCTTTTAATTATTTAATCATCTTTTATACACACAAAGCCATACAAAGTAATATTATAAAATTCTATTTTATCATTTTTTTTACTTGCTGCCATGAATTTATTTGCGAAAACATTATTTTATGTTTGTTCAGAGTTGTAAAGAAATTGTGCCATAATTTCATTTGATTATCAGTCCTCAGACATTGTGAAGGATACAGAATAGTCCATAAATGGACTCTTTAATGATATCAATGTAACAAATATTTGTTGCTTCTTTATTCGTATCATTGCATTGCTTCAGTAGGATGACTAGATTTCCTGGGTCAAGTATAATATGCCTCATCAACATTGGGGGAAATGTGGTGTGTGTGTGTGCGTGCAAACGTGTGGCAGATAGTGTCACTACAGTATAGGTTAGTCAAGAACCCTTATCAGGCCAGTGGTGGGTGCAACAGGCATAAGATTCTATATTCATATTTGTATAGACCTGTTGGCTCTCCATGGTGGATGGATATAGTCAACAATCATCTGGTTGCCTTTACTTCCCATATTTCCTGGTGCTCATTTTAGGCTGGATCTGAGAGCCAATGGTAAGCTATAAGTACACACACACATACACTCGACTCACTCTACCCTAAATTCCTCCGCTCACTCACTCCTCCACTCACTGACTCCACTCACTCCTCTCCATGCCACTCACTCACTCCTCTCCACGCCACTCACTCACTCACAGTGTAAGCCATATATTTTTCAGTATCAGGTGTTTAGCAGCAGAGGCCCAACAGGTAGTAAAGAGAAACAAAAAAATCGGTCTTGAGTTTATTGGGCTTCTTGGTAGCAACCTGTGGACATGTGATGTGTTCTTTGGGACTGGAAGAGATATATATCACAGGGCAAATCAGCATCACAGACCACAGAGAAAGGTTAACAATTAGCGCTTTTTTGAAACAAATCAGTACATCAAGTCATCTTAATTTTACCTACTTTACTTACCTAAGAAGAGAGGAAACTTTTTTTAGTTAATGCAGTAAAACCTCGTTAACATGAACATTCAGTTCATCACATAAAATTGATTTTTTTTCGGTTCCTTGGAATTTAAATTAACAAGGTGTTACTGTATATATATATATAGATATTATCATAACATGTTATTACTTTTGTGCCATATTATTACTTTGTTGGTTATGCTTGACAAATAAAGGCAAACACTGACAGTATAAGAAAATGTTTTCCTGTGTTTATATAACGGACCTGCATTGTAATGTATGTGCAATTAAGAAACAAACCAAAATATTTCTGGAGGTTTCAGAGATGTGGTTTTATGGAAGAATCCTTAGAATTCCTTGGATAGTGAAAAACAGCAAACCAGATGTTTTGAAAGAGGTGAGAGCTAGAAGACAACTAAATAGACATCAGAAAGAGATTATTTTTTGGGTCCTGTTATGAGAAAAAGAAAACCGGAACATATTTTGACCACTGGAAAGATCTGTGGAAAAAAGACAGAGGAAGACAGAATAATAAGATTGTTGGCAGCCTTTTGTCACTACATGGATTGGGTGTCAGCACACGCACTGATAAATCGAGATTAAGGAGAGGTATGATTATCAAGGCCTGCCGGCAAAGCACTTGATGATGATGATTTTTGCATGTTGTTACTAGTAACTGTCAAAGTGCTGAATGTTTTATCTACTAGCATTCCTAAACTGTTCACATAGACTTCATCATGTACAAGATGGTACATTTAAATTTAAAATCGATGGGGATAAGCAGCAATTTTACTAACAGCAAAATAAACCCACTATTTAAATGACACAGTTTTGGTAAGAGCATCTAAATATTCTTAGTACATTTAAAAAAAAAACAA